ACACAGAGCAGCCAACTGCTATCTCACAGCAGGCCACTCCACAATTTGACCTCAACCAAGAGCCTCAAATTGAAGAAGAATAGGATACCCTAACTTTGGCAGATGTCTTCATCTAGGAAAGAAGGGCCACTACCAAATTCATCAGCAATGCCGAGGTGAGACTTCACAAAAGGTTGATCAAAATGCAAAAGCACTTCGACAAACTACTGGAGATGAGGTTTGCAGAAGTCCACTGCCACATCAAGAGCAACTTGATGATTCAGCAGGTCTTCAATTCTGAGCAAAAGGCACAACTAAAGATTCAACTCTCCCAGCAGTCTGCCCAGATTGAATCTATACACAAGGAGCTTGCAGAACTACGCGCAAAAGATAGAGAGCTGGAAAACCTGATACTGTCTTATATTAGGCAACTGCGGGATCAAGAGCTAGCAGCTAGCTCCTAACCAACAGCAGAGTCCTCTGCCCAGGTACCTTCTCTCCCTTCTCTTACTCCTAATCTAGAACCATCTCTTCAAAAGGTCCAGGAGCATGAAGAATATATCAAAAAGTTAAGGAATGAGGAATTCCCTTCCATGCTCAAGCTCTCACAGAAGTTTTCCATAGAGCAGCAGGCTCACGCTCAAGCATATGAGCAACTAACCAAGGATATTGCTCAGAACTTCCAAGTTCTCCAAAAGGCAACTAGAGAAACCTTTTGAAAACAAGGCAGTGATTTCCAGAAGCTAGGTCAAGACTTACAAACAACAAAGCACAAGCTTCAAAACCTGGAAACAGAGGTCAAAGATGAGGTAAAGACAGACCTTATAGACATCAACAACTACATTAAAGCACTCTCCATAGAGGTCTATGGTCTCAACCCTATAAGAAGAAGAACTGAAGACATTGATGATGAAATTGAAGAACTCTTTGAAGAAAGCTACATCCCTGATGATGCCAAAAGGGGGAAAGTACTCCAGCAGACCCCTCCTCCTCAAGACCAACAGGCCCGTCCTCCTTAAGGTCAGCAGCAGCAAAGAAAGCAGCTGAAACAAGAAGAAAGAACAAGCTGTATCAAGAAGAACAACAAATCAGAAGAAGGAAAGCAGAAGAAGCTAAAGCTACGGAAGAAGCCAAGAAGAAACTAGAAGAAGTCAACAAGAGTAGACTTGAGAATAAGTCTGAAAGTGACTAAAAACTATTGTACTTTAGATTTTAGAACAATGTACTAATTCTCATAGAAAATCAATAAAAATATTTTGTTCCTGCTTTGTATAGTTTTGGCATCATCAAAAAGGGGAAAATTGTTAGTACCCAATTTTGATAAGATTTTGATGATGCCACTATACTTTGCTCCTGTACATTGTGTCTTATTTACATAGAGTATCCGTGTTCACAATTAATCATAAAGTGACAAATCAATGTACAATTTTTGTGACTAGTAAATTATACTGGAAATAAAAAATGCAATAAGGTAATTTTATTTACCTTAATAGGATATTTAAATCCTACCGGTGTAAATTTATTTAAACACAAAAATTAAAGTGTCACAAAAATAAGGTCACGTAGGTACGAAAATCATATACATTGCATGTGTATGATTGAAGACAAAATTTGACATGCAGTTAATGCTAAAATCGTACAAGGGACCCGGAGCATGGGACGCACACAATAAAAATCGTCAGAATGATCCTGGAAGGATGTTTCAGCTGCTCATCAGTGAAGACAAGTGAAATCCCCAATATTTGCTCCAGCACATGAAGACATAAGTACAAAACTTTCAACGTCAAAGATTAAACTCACCCTAACCAACAGTTGAGATTAGTCAACCAGGAAAGCCTAGTAATCAAGGAAACTCTTGTTTCAATAAATATAGGCCGAAACAAGAGTTTCTAACCAAGCTTTGAGCATCCAAAGTAGAGAAAAACTCCCACCGATCATTTAAGAGATATCTAGCAAAAGAGAAAGTGTCGGTTTAACTTTACTCTCTGTTTTGACTCATGCTTCACTAAACTTCCAAGTTACAAATCATCATTGCTATATTCTGGAAGTTTAGATCCTAGTTGGAGGTTAGAAATTTCTTGAAACAAATCACAAAATATATTGTTGAAAACACTCAGGAGAACAGTTGTTCTAATCCTAGTGTGGATAGATAGATATAGTACCTTTTGATTCCCACTGGATCAATTGAGAAAATTCTAAAGGACTGAGTAACTTGGAGCGGTGTGTACTCTTTGTGAAACACCTTTCAATCTAGGCCATTTCAGTTGTAAAGGCTAGATTGGGTACTAAGTGTATTGGGCTTAATACTTTAGTGGAAATCCATCTGAAAGAGGGTGAGACTGGACGTAGGAGGATTACACCACTTCTGAACCACGATATACTGTGTGTTGATTTACTTTCAGTCAACAAAGCACACACCCAACACTTCTCATTAAAGAAAGTAGTCTGCCAGCAGTATCCTCAGCAGTAGCCTAATCTGACGCCACTGCTCAGCCTACTACTTAATTACATACTTTCTTTGAGACATCTTTGCATTGCAGTATTCTTACAAAATCACTACAAAGAAGTGTGTTCAAACAGATTTCTGGGAATCATAACTCAGCAGGTACCTCAGCAGTTCCTTGACAATCACCCAACTGCTCAGGCCACTGCTCCCATAAACTTCCACTTAAACTCAATTGAGCACATTTCCAAAAAGCTCATATCATTCTAGATAAGATTCTGCAATCAGCCCTCTCATATTGTCATCTTTTATTAAGCAGTTGCCTCAGCAGTTCCCTGATTTTCACCCAACTGTCGAGCCAATTGCTAAGAAACCTGCTCATTGTTTAAACCCAATTTTTGTCCAAAGATAGAAAGTTCACACTCATATAGAGGTTAAGACTTCCGTTGTGCATCTATAATCTCCCAAAAGATCATAGATCAACTCATCTAGTGGGGAAAAGTTTGTAAAGTTAAAAAAGCTTTAAAAGTCTATTCACCTCCCCCTCTAGACTTTTACCTCTATCCGGGACCATCAATTTTACATAAATAGTGTATATGTCTTGTGTTTAATATCAAGACCATTAAAAATGATCTTTAATTTAATTTAAAAATCATTTTTGTATAAATAGCAGGGGTTTATTTTATTGTGTAACTCGCATTGTTTTGTGGTGTAACTCGTATTATGGCAAATGTAAATCACATGTAAGTAAGATGTAACTTGTTGAGGAAAATTGAAATGTAAATGACGCGTTACAAGATGTAACTTTAGCCAATCTGGAATGTAATTCTGGTGTATGTGAGAAATGTAACTCTTGAAATTTTCATCCGACCGCTCAAAACTGCCCATACTATCCACTAAGAAGTCATAAAGCCAATCACCAGCAATAGCCTATTGGCCTGAAAATTGCTGCCATAGTATTTTTAAGTATCGAGAATAGAACCGTTCTCCCAGGTGTAACTCTGGCTCAAGAACTCTAAAGCAGCAGTGTGCGAGCCTGAAATGTATCGTGGTGGCGGCGGGTAAACAAAACTGGTCTTCTCCTTGACCTCGTGCATGGCTATGGCGGCGCAGTTGTAAGCGGCCGGACACAACTTCACTGGCGGCGTCAAAAGTACCCAGCCACCTCCTCTCCATGGACAGAGGGTCCTTGCTCTGAGCCACGTAGCGCCCCCATGGACGACGAGACACTCCTGGTGATGGCGGCAGATGTGATTGTGGGCGAAGGTGAGGCCCTCTCCTTGGAAGTAGTAAAAGCATCCGGTTCGGAAATAGTTGGGTTGAGAAATAGGCGAGAGACTATTAATCTTCCTTGTTTATTTTAATTGGAATGCCACCGTATGGGGACCGGTTGCGCATGGTATACCGATCACACGGTATAATTTGTCATAAATATGAGCGCAAAAGAGTTGAGCTGAGCTTGATAAGAATGTAGCGGCTTGAGCTCAAATAAATTTTGGCTTGGGCTTGGCTCAAGCTCGACTTGGATCAGCTTAATATTTGCTCATTAGTTTTTATAGGTTCGAATTCGAATAAGATGCTTGAACTTGAATTTAGGCTAAAAATATTTTCTTCCCCGAAATTATTAATATTATACTTATATAAATAAATAAATAAATAAATAAATAAATAAATAGATAGATAGATAAATAAATAAATAAATAATACTTCATATATAATATGTGTATGTACATATACGTATGCGTTTGTATTTATATAATATATATACATAGTATATATTTTTATATTTATTTATTTACATATGCTATGGATCGCGAGCAACGAGCTAAGAAAAATGAAGCTCGAGCTCGGCTCAATTTCATAACGAGCTGGCTCGAGTTTGAATTTTATCGAAGTCGAGCTTTTAACAAGCGACTCACGAGCAGCTTCACTCGTTTACACCCGCTACTTGTAAATAGAGGTGCATTGGGAGAGATTACAAAATCAATATGCATCACCACTTTTCCGTAAAAAAGGGGCACTTGCTAAACAATGTTCACTTTACCTAATATATAAGGAGTAATATAAACTGAGTTTTAAAAAATATACATTTTCCTTTGAGTTAAAAAATATGAATATATTCTCAAATTAAATTTCTTTAAATTTTTATTTTCTTATCCCATCTCTTTATCTATTATTTCACATATATTTTTACGAACCCATCTTACTTTTCTTATTTTTAAAATTAAAACGGTAAAAAATCACTTCACTATTTATTTCTTACAAAATCAGGGTGAGCATGTCGGTTTTGGTTCGATTTGAAAAAGATTGAGAGAATGATTACTAAACAAATATGGAGTACTATCTTTCGATTTGATTCGATTCAATTTGATTTGATTTAGATTTATTATTTTTAATAGTATATGAAGATTCTGTTCAATTTTATTGGAATTTTCTCGATTACATTAGTCAAATCAAATTGTATATATTATGATTTGATTTCGATCGGGGTTAATTCGGTTGGCTGTGACTCGGTTAAACCAAACCAAATCAAACCAAACCTTCCTATTACAAATGCATTTTAGCTAGCCTTTAAGGAGGCAATAAAGTATGAATATGCGACCTAATTTCATTTTCAGCACTCAACAGTTGGGCTCAAGCGCAAATCAAATTCTTTCAAGAAAAGATTTCCACCCGCTCCCATTAGGCTTTTAGCCTTCTCTTCTATTCCAGAAGGCCAGAATCCCACATTCTTCCATTTCCAGGTAGGTAGGTTTTTTCTCTACTCCATCTTCAGTCTTCCATTTCCATGTTATCCGGAGATTCCGGGACTGTGATGTTGGTCTATGGTGACACATCAGATCAAAGATCTTTCTCCCTAGATGACACAAGCAGCACTGAGGAATCACCAGAGCAAACAAACTTGTCCTTAGTGACAATGAATGATTCAATTCCATACAAGGGACAGAGATTCCCAACCCATGACGCTGCTTATGAATTCTACACCGAGTTCGCGAAACAGTGCGGCTTCTCAATCCGAAGGCACAGAACGGAAGGCAAAGATGGGGTTGGCAAAGGACTCACGCGGCGCTACTTCGTCTGCCACCGCGCAGGAAAAACTCCCGCCAAATCTTCGGCTGAAAATAAACCTCAAAGAAACAGAAAATCCTCCAGGTGTGGATGCCAAGCTTACCTGCGTATAAGTAAGAACTCTGACCTTGGGGTTCCGGAATGGGTGGTCACCGGTTTTGCAAACCACCATAACCATGAACTCTTGGAACCCAACCAAGTGCGTTTCCTTCCCGCGTATCGGACCATTTCCGATTCAGACAAGAGCCGGATCCTGATGTTTGCGAAAACAGGAATCTCTGTTCAACAAATGATGAGGCTCTTGGAGCTCGAGAAATCTGTGGAACCCGGATATCTTCCTTTCACTGAGAAGGACGTTAGGAATTTGCTTCAGTCATATAGAAAGGTGGACCCCGAGGATGAAGGCATTGATCTACTGAGGATGTGTAGAAACATTAAGGAGAGAGATTCCAACTTCAAGTATGATTTCACACTCGATTCAAACAATAGATTGGAGAACATTGCTTGGTCATATGCTTCGTCCATCCAGTCATATGAGGTTTTTGGTGATGCAGTGGTTTTTGATACAACCCATTGCTTGACTGCTTTTGATATGCCTTTGGGAATATGGGTTGGAGTGAACAATTATGGGATGCCTTGTTTCTTTGGCTGTGTACTTCTGCGAGAGGAAAACGTGAGATCATTCTCATGGGCATTGAAGGTAACAAGCAATTTTCTGTTTTAAAAAACGGATCCTTATCTTATAGGTTTCACTGTCCGTAAATATAAAATATGATCTATCTATAATAAGGTTTGTTTGTGTTTGTAAATAATTAGGTATAAATAAGATGAGTTTGAATAATATCTAAAATTGATTTATTGTGTTTGAACTTTGAACCAAATTTTTACATTTCCTCAAATTTTCCTCATTCTCTTATCCTACCATGTAGGAGGAATGTGGGATCCAAATGGAGCCTTATGCTACTAAGAATGAACCAGTGTTGATTAACCTCTTTTTTCTTTTCTAAATGTGGAAGGCATTCTTGGGGTTCATGGACGGCAAAGCCCCACAAACCGTGCTAACTGACCAAAACATGTGTCTCAAGGAGGCAATAGCAATGGAGATGCCAACGGCTAAGCATGCCCTCTGCATATGGCTTATTGTAGCGAAATTCCCTTCATGGTTTAATGCCGTTTTAGGGGAGCGATACAGCGAGTGGAAAGCTGAGTTTTATAGACTGTACAACTTGGAATCGGCCGAGGAGTTTGAGCTTGGTTGGAGAGAGATGGTGAATTTGTTCGGACTGCATACTAATAGGCACATTGCTGGTTTGTTTGCCTTGAGGTCACTGTGGTCACTGCCATACCTAAGAAGCCATTTCTTTGCAGGAATGACTACGGCTAGCCAATCAAAGTCAATCAATGCTTTCATTCAACGCTTTTTGAGTGCCCAAACTCGGCTTGCACATTTCGTGGAGCAGGTAATGTTTGGTCAATTCGTAATTGTTATGTTACTTTTACATTCTATTGCCCCTCCTAGTTTTTTTTAGAACATGGCTACTGTTAGAAACTCAACACTCCAGCGGAGTCCAGTAGCATATTCAATAAGAATTCTGATGAATTATCAGAACTCAGGAAACTACACCAATGGCAGAAAAATATAGAAGTGCTAAAGGACAGATTAGAGAGCGTCTGCCGCCTGGCTCTCCCAATTTCCACTAACAGAATATCTGCCTACCTCCCTCCTTCCCTCCTTCTCACTCTTATAGTAATTCTATTCTTAAGGGCCAGCCCAAACTCAGGAATTATATGGCCCGAAACCCTTATTTGTACATTAATACATTATTTAATATAATTCTATTATTCTTATTAGTTTTAATTTCCGGGTCTCTATCATCTACCCATGTCGAGCTGAAATTGCATAGAGTAGGAAATACAACTCTCCTAAACTCGTTTGCCATGTTATTGTTACTACTCCGCATAATGTGTTTCCTTTAATTTTCTTGAGGGTCCATTTAGAATCTAGAAAATGTTAGGGGATCAAAATAGGTAGTAAATATGGACGAAGTTAAATTTGGGGGTAATAAAAGCTACACGCCAACCCAATACGTTTAGTTTAGATCTTCATTCAAACTTTTTTTACTTATATTACTATCTATATACGTAGTAAATACTAAGAAATCTGAATATATGTAAAAACAATTGGAAAATTAATCAGTTTTCTCTTTGTATTTTCGTAGGTATGGGCAAACCTTAGAAAATAATTTTCAGAAGCTTTTGCAACTGAAATTTATCATTTTCTGGAACCCAAGCATACCGTAAGGGTCCATTTTGCAACTGGGAAATTGCCAGGGTAAGAAAATAATGGGATTTTGAAGGACATAAAGTTTTGGTCCAATCTTAATAAATCAAATTTAGATACTTGTGGAAGCTCTTTTTATTTCTTTATTCCTACTTTATACTACCTCCGTCCCGGTGGACTTTGCCAAGTGCAAAGTAGGTGAGAAATAAGAATAGTAAAAACTGTGTGGTTGAGATTTGTGCAGAGGAGAGAGAAACGTGCAGAACCACAAATTAGTTGCTTTAATAGGAAAGTGTCAAAGTTTTTGGGACAGCCAAAAAAAGGAAAGTTGTCAAAGTCCAATGGGACAGAGGGAGTAGAAACTAGAAATGAAATTACATGTAAACTTTTAAAAGTGTTCAATCATTAAGTCAATCCCTTTTTTTGCCCAATACGAGTTCCCTACCTATTTTCAATTGTCAAACCAAACACTTAAAAATCTTCACATTTGCTCCTTCACATATCATTTTCTGTGTTCCAAATGGACCCTGAGTAATTTGGTATAAGAATTAGATTATGATAAGACTGATGCTTTTGAACCCTGAGGCTCCTTTCCCCCAATTCATTCATCATTAAGTCAATCCCTTTTTTTGCCCATTGAAAGTTGAAAGTCTGAAACCAATAACTTTGTCTTCACTAACTTTTTGTTGTTGCATAATAATAAGGTGGCAGCTGCAGTGGACTTTAAGGATCAAACGGGAGAACAACAAACCATGCAGCAGAATCTTCATAACATTTCCCTCAAAACTGGGGCCCCCATGGAATCTCATGCTGCCACAGTTCTCACCCCTTTCGCCTTCACCAAGCTCCAGGAGCAGCTCATCCTCGCCACACACTATGCGTCTTTTCAGATGGAAGACTGTTTCCTTGTCAGACACCACACAAAAGTCGAGGGTGGACGGAACGTTTACTGGGCCCCGCTGGAAGGCATCATAGGGTGCAGCTGCCAGCTGTATGAGTTCTCAGGTATACTTTGCCGGCATGCCCTTAGGGTTCTGTCAACCGGAAACTGCTTCCAGATTCCAGAGAGGTATCTGCCTCTCCGGTGGCGAAGAATCAGCTCCGTCCACACTAACCAGAATCTGGACCACATGGAAAAGGTTCAGTGTCTGCAGAGTTTGGTTTCATGTCTTATTTCGGAATCAGCAAAGTCTAAAGAACGGCTCGAAATGGCGACTGAGGAGGTGTCCGTCCTTTTGTCTCGGCTACGTGAACAGCCGGTGGTTTATTCATTGTCGGTGGTGAAAGAATTGTCATCAGCATCCATTAAAAGGTTTGCTTGACTTAGATTTCTGAATATTCGAAAACTTATAGCCCATCTGGCAAGGTTTGTTTGGCTGAATTGGTTGGTAACATGAAATTAAAAAGCAAATTAATGAAGCCAAAAGTTACTTATTATGCTCGTTCTGTTGATAAGTCGATCAAGTAGAATAAGTGACTTTTGGCCACCAAACGGAGCCGTAATCCACGTGAGAGTTCTTGTAGAAATCAGGGACATGAAATTATGAAGCTATAGTTTTGTGCAGTGAGTGCTGGTTTAGTGTGTGTATATACATTTATTTTGATTAGATTTTGAAATTTTGTCCTTCGAACAAATATATAAAGAGGTGACCTGATATGTAAAGTTGCTGTCACTGCAGAAGGGAAATGTTCTAATTTTTGTTACTTCCCATTGTTTTATGCCACTCAATGGTATTTTGGTTGCCTGTCTGCTAAATATGCATAAACTAAGAAATCCATCTTCATTGTTGTCTCCAGCATTTGGCGCTGCCGTATTTTAACTTTTTATCAATTACGTCCTCTCACAATGTAAATTTCATCAAAACCAATATTTGGCAGGTAATCAGCAGGTTACACGGTAATGCGGCGCACATGTGACAGCCCACACGTAATGGCCCATGTCACTTTTTTCATTTTTCCTTTGTTTTCATTTTTTCCCCTCTTTCCTTGTTCCCTTTTTTCTTAAACTGTTGGCCTCTTCTATTTCTTTCTTTTTTCTTTCTTCTCCGTCCACTTATTTCTTTGTTGGTTTCATTTTCTTTCCACGTTTTTCTACTCCCCCGCCATTGGGCATCCAGTTCATGCAATCGGCGGAGAAGATGGCATGGGTCAGCGGTGACAAAGATGACGTGCGACGTAGTCAACAGGTGAGCGAGACAAGTGGTGACGAGGCGATCGGTGACAAAGAGTGATAGTCAACCTAACTGTGAGGCAACACTTCAAATTGAGGTAACATCTCCTAACCTTGATGAAATTATTATTGAGGATGAAGAACCCGAATACTCCATTGATCCCTCAGTTCAAGCTATTTTGGACAACGACGTTGCTAAAGAGGCTAATACATCTTCTCTTGACAAGCCAAATGAAAGTGTGGAGTTGGACAAAAATAAGGGCATTGTCCTCCATGACTCAAGTCACAATGCCGCGGCATTAAGTGACAAAGCCGTGGGTTTACACCCTCAAACCAACAAGCCTAACTCCAAATGGGGGCAACCCGGTTCTACCCCTTCCTTTGTGTCACTTTTCAAGGACAATAGACAACCGGACAAAGGCATGAAGCTACGCTACATTGAACCCAAAGGAGACATTATTGACCTCACTAACCGAAAGATGTCCTCCATGGTTGAGATATGTGGATATTGTTTAATGGCTTACTTTGATGGTCGGTTTCCCGGGTTTAAAAACATTCATGATATGGTGCACAAATGGGGTGTACCTTGCCGTGTGAGATCACATGATAGAGGGTGGGTGATCTTTAAATTCCAAAACGAAGATGATAGGGCCAAAGTCCTCATGGAAGGCCCATACTCTCTATTTGGAAAAACAGTCCATCTCAAAGCCCTATCCGAAGACTTCTCCATGGATGATGATGAATTCTTAAAGGTACCAATTTGGGTCCTCTTCCTCCATCTACCCATGAGAATTTGGGAAGAAGAGATAATAAGTGAGGTAGCATCTAGAGTGGGAACACCAATCACTACGGATAGAGTAACTCTTGAAAGAGCAAGATCATCATTTGCAAGGGTCCTAATTGAGGTGGATGCTTCTAAACCACCCCCTCCATTTCCAAATCAGGCTGCCAAATGGTAAATTACACACGCAAAGGGTGAGGTATGAAACTTTCCCTAACTATTGTTTCCATTGTAAATGCTTTGGCCACCATTGTTTTACTTGCAAGGTATTAGCCGAGATAGAAAGGAAGGAATTTGAAGCTAATAGAATGCAAAAAGAGGCTGAAAGTGGAGCTCAGAGGTGGTGGATGATGTCCAAGGCATCCATGTCAATATGGAGGAAAGGAACAACCCTCGGCCCATTAAATCCCCATCAAAGGAGCATCCTTTTTTCAAACTTCTCAAGTATGCTAGATATGGGAAGAGAAGACCAAAGAAAGGGGAGAGGGATAGATCCCCCGGTTACATAACACAAGATGAAGAGGATGACCAAGATGGTCAAACCGTACGAAGTGTGGAAGCCTTTGATGAAATCTACTCGGATGAAGCAATCATTGAGATGGACCCCGCGTTGGATTTCTCTAGCCCAATCATCAAAGTCAAGCATGTAGAGGAGGTGGATAAAGAAGCAACTATCATCAAACTTGGGCATAACTTGAGTGTGGTTGAAAATAGAGAGCCCGGTGTGTTCTTTACAAAACAATGCCTTGAAAAACTCCCGGATGTAACATCCATTGACAAAGGGTATACTTTCGGTCCTACATTTATGAGAGGTGTCTATAGACACTATCTTAATAGGTTCTTTGAAGATGGCTGCCCGAGAGGTAATTCATGCAAGGTAAAGGATCCAAGGAGGGTCAAGCTTGATCAAACCCGAGTGGTTCATGATATTAGAGATGCTTACCTTGATGATGTTGTTACCAAAGTTGAACTACTTGAAGATAAGCCACCTAACATCCACCTTATGCACATTGAGGAGGTCAAGGAAATGATGGTTAGAGTGGACAACTATCTTAGTGTTCAAAATGATGCCTCGAACACTAAAGCTATCAATTTCACCCAAGAATGCTTCAAATCTCTATCGGGGACCGTTACAACCGAGGAGGAGTATGTCTTCACTTCTTCTTCTTTTGAGTTACCATATCTCTTGCTTTTCATTACTAGGTACACTCCAAGAGAACCCAAGAAACCCTCTTTGGCCGAGGCTAGTAAGGCAGGGAAGGGGTGGAGAAGAAGACCCACCACAAAATCTTCTTAATGATAGTGTCCTCATGGAATGTCCGAGGCCTAAACAACGTCTCTAAACAAAACCTTATCTCTCATTTTGTGAATACTAATAATGTACATATTTGTTGTTTGCTTGAAACTAAAATGAACACCCTTAACTTTGAAAAGTTTACACGTAGTAAATGGCCTTCTTGGTCATCTATTACTAACTTTGATATAATTAATGGTGGTCGCATTGCTGTTTTTTGGAATCCTAATTTTGTTAATGTTAATGTGATAGATGTTGATAAATGATCGGGCTAAACTTGCAAGTGTACAAGTGCCGATATAGTAATAAATGCCGGTAAAATACCGGGTCGAATCCACAAGGAAACATTGTTTAATTCAAGTCCGAGAGTAGATAACTTTAAATGAAGAATTGAATAAAGTGCAGGGATTTTGATTTGTGTTTTATATTTTTGGTTTTTTCACTTTTTGTTCAACAAGATAATCATTAACTAACTTTGAGTTCAAGATAAATGATAACAACAACTAAGGCTTCGGGAATCACTTAAATGCTTAAATAGGGTTGAATAGTAGTTCTTTGCCAATAATTATGAATACGATGTCGCTAATATATTCTCAACTCTGGTTAAGGCAGCGAGAGCGTGATTTTCGTTACGTGTAAGTCCCGTTACAGTTTACATTCATCTACCGAAAATCCCGTTGAATATCAAGACATCACACCCGTATCATATAAGATCGGATATATTTCTATTCTCGGTACTATATATGTTTATCCTTTAATGTTCATAGTTTAGACTTCAACGTTAATTGCAAGTATAAACTAAATTTAACATACTTCTATGTTGTACACCATAGTCATAAACAATCAATATATAAAGGATAAATCACAATTTATTGATTTAGAATTTTTATCAAACACCTAGTGGGCATAGAAGTTCATCCCTAGTCTTAGCTAAGAAATTAGCCTCTAATGCTCATATTAATCACAATACAACAATAAATGTAATGGAACATGAAATTACAAAGGAAATAATACCTAAACACCAATGATTTCGGAGGATGAACTTCCCTCCTCAAGAATTTGAAGAAAATACTAAGAACAAAAATATAAAAGCTAAGAATTAATCTATGGAATGGAATGTATTTGTATGATGAATTGAGGGCTTTATATAGGCTAAAGAATGACATCTTTTAGTCTATTCAAGCCCAACAAGCAGGTGTGGAGGAGATATCTGATCAAATATGGAGAAGATGAAGTTTCCCATCCAGAAATCTTTTGCACGTAGCTATGTTTGTAGCAGAAATCAGATCAACCGGCGCCGGTTATAAGGTGTCCGGCGCCGGTCGTGTGCAAAAATGCACCGGTCGCTCCGCGTCGGTTGGAAACAGGCGCTTTTGAAAAAAAAAAAAACGACCGGCGCCGGATGTAGGATGACCGGCGCCGGTTCCTGCGCCCAAATGTGTACTTAGCTTCTTTTTTCTCTTTTGATGCCCGAAATTTATCCAGAAGTGCCGGTTTTCGACCCCTTTTTGCTTTTGACCCTATTTTTGCTGTTCCAAGGCGCATTGCATGTTTCCGCTCATTCGGGAATATTTACCTGTTTTTGCTTTAATTTTTGTACAGATAATTATAATCACTTATGTAAAACATAAGTAATTATTGTGCTTATCAATAAACAACATATCCATTGTGAATTCAAGTGTTTGACTACTCAATTGGTCTTTTATATTACTTTTGTCTATGCACTCTACTCGGTTGTTGAAAGAAAAGTACTTTGGGATCATATTGCTAGATTGGAGTCTTCCATAAATTGTCCTTGGATTGTTATGGGGGACTTCAATTGTGTGTGTGGCCCCAATGAAAGGGTGGGGCCCACTCCACCCTCGGCTTATCACCTCCAAGACTTGAATGATCTTAAAGTAGAAGCTAATCTTGTTGATTTTCCTTCCACGGGTGAGTTCCTAACTTGGAATAGAGGATCCCTATGGGCTAAACTTGATAGAGTCCTTATGAACCCCCTTTGGGGTACTCATGGGATCTCTTGTACTACACATTTTCATGATATGGAAGTTGAATTTGATCATGTAGCTTCTTTAGTAACCCTCGGACAAACTAATAATGTGGGTTTCAAGCCTTTTAAGTTTTTTAACATGTGGCTTAAACATGAGATTTTTAAGACCATGCTTACATCTAATTGGTGTAGGGCTGTCCATGGAAGTTCTCAATTCATTTTAGCCCAAAAATTGAAACTTTTAAAGAAACCACTCAAAGAGTTAAACAAAAATTGTTTTAGCCATCTTTCCGATTGGGTCAAGGAATCTAAAAAAGAGTATAAAGGCCTTCTTGGACTGTCTATGCTCTCCCCACTTGATGAGACTCTAAAGACTGATTTGGCCATCTGTAAGAAGAAGCTTATTAATCTTAAAAAGGTCGAGGAGGATTTTTATAGACAAAAAGCTAAAGCTACTCATCTTGTTCAAAGTGATAAATGTACCAAATATTTTCATGCAATTGTTAAGAACAATGCTAGGAATTCCATTACGGCTTTGACTCTTCCAAATGGAGAGCCTATTACCTCTATTGATCAAGTTGCATGTGAATTGGTTAACTTTTATACTTCCTTATTTGGTACTCATTATCCTAGCTCTCCTTTAAATGCAAATATTGTGATTTCGGGTAAGACTTTATCCCCTCTCTTGATGGACAGTCTTGTTGCCCCTATTTCTGACCTTGACATTAAGGAAGCTTTATTTGATATTGGGGATAACAAGGCCCCTGGCCCTGATGGGCACACCTAAGCCTTTTTCAAAGAAAATCGGGACATTGTAGGGAATGACTTGATTAAAGCCGTGAAGGGCTTTTTTGGTTCAGGAAAATTACTAAAGCAGCTTAACCACACGGTTATTGCTTTGATTCCTAAGACCAATCACTCTCCTACGGCAGCTGATTTCAGACCTATTGCTTGTACCAATGTTGTTTATAAAGTTATCACCAAAGTCTTGGCCAAAAGGATGATTCCTTGTCTACCTGATCTTGTTGATCCTGCCCAAGGGGCTTTTGTAGATGGAAGACCTATGATTGATAATGTTTTTATTACACAAGAGTTAGTCAAAGGCTATACTAGAAAGAGAATCTCCCCTAGGTGTATGATTAAGGTTGACCTTAGGAAAGCTTATGATACCATTTCATGGAGTTTCCTTTCTAGTATGTTATCACACTTAGGTTTTCCCAGAAGATTCATTGGATGGATTATGGAATGTGTCATCACTCCTTCCTACTCCATCTCCATTAATAGAGTTCTCCGTGGACACTTCAAAGATAAAAGGGGGCTGAGACAAAGTGTCCCCATGTCCTCTCTATTATTTGTCCTTTGTTTGGAATACTTATCAAGATTGCTGAATGTTAGGACACAAGATCCACTCTTTAAATTCCATCCAAAATGTGGAAGTTTGAAGATATCCCATGTTGCCTATGCGGATGATTTAATGCTTTTTTCTAAGGGACACAAACCATCTGTTAAGATTCTTATTGACTCTTTGGAGGAGTTTGGCAGCATATCCGGCTTTAGGGTCATCTATGATAAGTCTAATATCTTCCTTGGAGGCCTGGCTGATCATGACCTTCATAGTACCCTTGATTTGGTTGATTTTAATGTTGGTGCCTTCCCTGTTAAGTATCTTGGGGTGCCCTTGACTCCCTTAAAGGTATCAGTGACACAATATGTTCCTTTGTTAGATTCAATCACTAATTTCATTAGTGCTTGAAACCTTAAAACACTTTCATATGCTGGCAGAATTGAACTCATCAAATCAGTAATACAGGGGGTCCATTCCTTTTGGTTTCAAATCTTTCCAATTCCCAAAACTATACTGGATAGGATCACCTCTATATGCCGAATCTTTCTTTGGGGTGGGAAATTTTCAAGAGTTGCTTGGGCTGATATTTGCCTCCCTAAAACCGAGGGGGGCTTGGTATTCATGATACCAAGGTGTGGAACTCAGCCCTACTAGCTAAAACTTTTTGGGACATCCATACCAAGAAAGACACACTTTGGGTCAAATGGGTACATGGAGTATATCTTAATGGCCGAAGTGTGTTGGAGTTTTCCCCACACCATAGGGACTCTCATTTGATCAAAAAGATTGCCTCAATTAGAGATGAAATTTTGCTAAAATTTGATGGGATCACAAGTGCCATACAGGGCTTAAATTCTTTTCAATCTAATAGAAAATTAATTTCATCTAAAATATATGATTTGCTTAGAACTAGGGCCCCCACCTGTTGGTGGATGTCCTTTATATGGAAAAACTACATTCCTCCCAAGTTTTCCTTTACTACTTGGTTAGCATTTCGAAATAGATTGGCTACATATGATAATCTCTTTAGATTAGATGTAGTCAATACTTGTGCTTTGTGTAAGGGTGGTCTGGAAACAGTTCCACACCTATATTTTGAATGTTCCTTTTCAGGTAAAGTTTGGAGGATGGTTAAGGAATGGTTGTAAATTCCAAGGCACATGGGCTGCCTAACCAGCTCGGTCAAGTGGATAAAGAAAGAAAGAAGTGGTGCTACGGTCCAAGCTAAAGCGGTCAGGATTGCTTTTTGCTACTGGATTTGGAGGGTCAGAAATGCAACAAGATTTGATGGGCTGCTCTTAAAAGAGGAAGATATTTTTGCGAGGATCAAGTACATTGTGTACAAGATCCTATATAGTATTTACCCCCATAATTTTGTGGTGGTTTGATAACTATGTGCCCATCACCTTATTTTTGCTTGTGATTGGCCGTGAAGTAACTTAGGTTACTTGATCAGCAGTTTATTTTTGGAGGTGATGTGTTATCCAATCTTTGGATAACCTCAAATTTTGCTCCCTCTTTTTTTTGATGTACAGCTAAAACTCTTTGGATGATTCCTTTATATATACTTACAATCCTCCAAAAAAAAAAAAGTTCACTCAATGTTGGTCTCAATGTCATGCCTCCATGGGAGAACCTTAATCAGGAGGGAGCCTCTACTCGCTCCGTTTATGGGACGAACATCCCCATAGCCCAAGCCAATTGGGAAGCCTTTCCCCGAGTCGTTGCGAGGTTCGTCCCCAACAGTCAATTTAACCAAATATTCCCCCAGTTGGCTTGGGCTATGGGGACGTTCGTCCCATAGCTCCTCAGTTGGCTTGGGTTATGGGGACGTTCGTCCCATAGCTCGCCAGTTAACAACATACAATTAC